CAAGGGCCTCATGTTTCACATCCCAGCTAAGATATCCCTCCTCTTGATGCTGTGACTCTGTTTGTAGAGGTTAATCTGTCCCTATGTGCACTCCTGTGGCATGCTGCATGTAGCTCAGGGAGCCCTGAAGGGAAGGACCTTGATTTTCCAACTTTACATCTTCAGTGACCACAGAGTACCTGGCAAATGAATGATGCTTACTAAGAATTTTATGGATAAACTGAAAAAATTATTTAAAAATGATGTATAACCTGAGAAACTAGTATTTTTTACTTGAATTCTGAAACTTTAAAGCTCATGGTTGTACTTGTTTTTTGTTTTGTTTATTTTGCACTCAGGACCTTGCGCTTGTGAGTCAGGTGCAGTGCCACTGAGCTAAATTCCTGGCCTTCATGGTTGTATGTGTAACCTCATTGTTTTAAATCTACATTATTCCATAGTTTTCTCAAAAGGGTCTTTGCAGTGAGGGAAATACAGCATTTCAGAATTTCAGGAGTTTTTACAACATTTCTTTTAGAACTAATAAATAAAAATATATCATAAAAAGCATAGTGGCATTATATTGTATCATTATAAATTACTGATTTTCAAAGGCCAAAATAAATCTGTGGTATGGGCAGATTTGCTATCCAATAATTGAAAGACTGCTTTGCCAGATAAATTATTTCTGTAATTTAAAATCCTCTTAAAATGCCATTTTCTGTTGTTATTTTTGTTTTAGCTGGGCACAGTGTCACATGCATATAATCGTAGCACTTTAGGAAGCTGAGCCTCCTTGGGCTTACAAGTTTGAGCCCAGGTCTGATAGTTTGGCAACTTAGTGAGACCCTTTCTCAAAATAAAAAATTTAAAAAGGGCTGAGATGTAGTAGCTCAGTGCAAAGGCCTGGGTTCAGTCCTCAGTACTGAAAAAACCCCATTTTTGAGACAAACTCATATATTGCTTAAGTGAAAGGGCAGAGCATAAGAAATATTTACATGTTGCACAATAGGAAACAGATTTTATTGGAAATGATGACGTTAGAGATTGCAGTAATGGTAACCTATTGCTAAATTATTCTGCTTGGATTTTTAATGTTATTTTACTGATACTGTATTTCTGCTAAGGGATGGTTTCTATTCCCTTTTTAAAAAAGGAAGAAAGAAGCCAGGGATTTAGCTCAGTGGTTCTGCGGTCCTGAGTTCGATCCCCAGTACAAAAAAAAAAAAAAGGAGGTGAGAGTGGCACATAGAATAATAATTATTAGAGTTAAGACAACAGACAGACTCATTTCTAAGAAAAATATAATGAGACCACATAAAGTGATGGAAACATCCTCAATATAGAGGAAAGCATAAATCGTAATGTTTTTGCTCAGTGGATCAAGCACCTGTTAAAATGATTAGAAATGAAGACCCTGTACAAAACAATGTTTAATAAAATGTTGAGTAAAAACATATTTGCTTTATGTTCATATTTATATATATATAAATATATACATATGGAGGCAAATAGACAAAAATGAGAATTGATGTGACTATTTGAATTTTTACACTATTGATTATGTTCATTTATATATATATAAATATATACATATGGAGGCAAATAGACAAAAATGAGAATTGATGTGACTATTTGAATTTTTACACTATTGAATTCTTACTATCACAATTTGAATTTTTATTCTTTTTTTGTTATAAATATTACTGTGCAATAAAAATATAGAAAAATGGAAAGAATATGGTCAACACAAGAGGGAAATCAAAACAAAATGGAGGATGAAAGGACAAGCTGATTTGCATATAGTTATCTACTGAGTCATATAATTTTAGAAATGGAATGTTTTCCTATACATTTAAAAATTTTGGTTTCAGATTTAAAAATCATTGAAAACACCAAAGAGCTTTTTATGTGGCTTATTATCTATATTTTCATATTACAAATTAAAATGAGAAATTTTATATAACAAATTAAAATTAAGTCGTTAAAAATTAGCAGTGATAGGGCCAGGGATTTAGCTCAGTCATGCTACTACCTGCCTCACAAACCCAAGGTCCTGAGTTTGAACCCCAGTACCCCCCAAAAATGCAGTGATAAATGTGTTTATATAAATAACATGTTTATGAAAAAGAAGTAAGTATTTTATAAAAAGTAACAATGGAAAAGCCATTACATGTTAACATAAATAACATGTTCATAAAAAAAATAGCTACATATTCCAAAACAAAAATTTAATGAAAAGAGTGCCAGTGCTTTATAGTATTTTTGCAAATCTCTTAAGATCTGGCTCAGTAGTACACAGCTGGCTTGTCATATCTGCTTATGCATTCAGTCTTTCGTGATATGTTCTTTTGGGTAAAGTGTGGGGGAAATATCTGGTCTCACACAGCTCTGTAGTTGTAAGAGGGAAAAGTCTCTTCATAAAATTGTGGCTGCGTCCTATTACTTCTGGAAAACCCCACTGTGTGTACTTATGAGTAAACCAGATCGACAGAGACAAGTGAATCGTGTCTTAGTTTTATAAAAGCAGTTTTGGCTCCTGGACGCTGAAAATGGTTAAGACTTCCCCAGGAGTCTTGACCATGCTTTGAAAATCACTGTTTAAGTCTTTCAGGATGAGAAAACTGAAACCCAGAAATGTTCAGTATTTTCCCCAAATCACAGGGTTGGTTGGACATAGAGGACTGCAACACAGCTTCTCCACTTTCACTCCTCATGCTTTTGGAGAACTTTAGGACCTGGCTCAACCTTTGGAAATTGATCCTGAGTGTATAAATGAGGATCTCACACACACACATTTTCATTTTAAAGATTTTTAAAAATTACTTGATTGAAGAGTCAAAACTTTTTAGAAAAAGTAGCATTCAGATTGTAAGTAGATTTGTAAAAGTAATTTTAAATAAGTATATAAAGATACAGAAATATTAAATATTAAATTTATAATAAAGGTTTGGATACATTTTAATTTTTACTGACCTAACTAAAACTTGCTACCTTTTTTCTCAGTCATTACTACACATTGGGTTTCATTTTGGTTTGTTGGTTATTTGCATGGCCATGGTATGAGGTATTTTCCTTGTTAGGTGGTATTCTGGTTTTTAGTATTGTTCACTCATTCCTCCCATACCCCACCAGTCTTAGAAACGACAGAGATGTAAGTGTCCCTTTCACTAGCACAGAAGCATGGAAAGGACTGGAATGGATGATTCCATGCTTCCTCCTCAGTCTTACACAGATCTCAGCCTCTTCCTCCCCTCAGCATTGCTGGCCCTGGATCTGACTTCGTTCAGCTTGCTGCACTTTTTCCTGGTTTTTAGTATGGTGCTTCTTTCCTGCACAGCCTTCTGCTTTATATACTTTACCTCCCTACACTACTATAGTTTCTTCTTTCAAAGATTATTCTCAGTAAGAATGACTTCCAGCAACTATATTATAGTCAAGACTCTTGGGGTTAACAAAGACACAGGAGAGAAAGTTGTGTGATCTCGTGTTTAGCTTGGTGGGGACTTTTGTGTGTATGTGTGTGGGTTCCATAGTGAAACACGTGACAGTCCTGGTGGTCTCTGTCCTAAGTCCCACAGTGCTTTCACACCTTGCTTCCAGTTTATGTTATATATTAGTGCTAAAAATCTAAGTTATTTTGCAGTCAGCTGGCTAGTTTTATCTTTTTATTTTTTAACATTTTAATTTTTATTAGTACATGTTTGTGGCACACAGTCTTCATCTTGAAGACTTGGTAAATGTATGTAACACTTTTTTATTTTTTTTCTTTTAGATAATATTTGCTGTGTTGTTCCGGCTGGCCTTGAACTCACTATGAAGCCCTGGCTGGCCTTGAACTCTGGATAGTCCTCCTAAGTGCTGGGATTATAGGCATGTGCCACCACACCCAGCACAAAATTCTTTCAATTTTATCTTTTTTACCCCTTTTTCCCCCTGAAGAAATTAAAGTATTTTAGTTCAGTTGGGAAATGCCCATTTGTGATAGACTGTAGGTAGAACTGGGTGAGAGTGAACTGCAATCCTGGGTGTCCTTTAGGGTTCATTCTTCACCTTTGAACAGTGGAGCAGCAGATAGAAGAGGTCTGGGGGCTATGCATTTCCCATGCGTTACCCTTTGTCTATTCTTTTTTGGAGTGGAGTGTGAAGCAGGGCCCCTGTTCCAGGTTATAAATTACAGATCCCCTGGCAAGTTGCATGGCACTATCTTAGTTCTTTTTTCCTTTCCCTTTGGAGCTGGAAAGGTGTTTTGTGACTTGGCAGAAGTTAAAAGAGAATTGATTAATTTGAGATATTATTGAAAATTTGTTCTAGTTACATCATGTAACTACTCTGTCTTTGTGTGGGACATGTCAGTATTTCACATAAAATGGAAGTTTTCTACCTGTTTGAAAAGAAAGAACAGAAAAATGCAGTCTAGTAGGGAGACAGAGAAGCTTCTATGACAGGCAACGTTGATATTTAGCTTCTTATTTTACCCTTGTAACTATTCTGTGATTCTGTCAAGTCCTGTAACTACACCAGTCTTCCATATTCTCTTCTGTAAATGACTTATTGTTAAGTGATGTCTGACAGTATTTGGCATTTGCTTTATTATTTATTTAACAGCAACTTACTAAGTGCCCATTGTGCGCCCAGCACTGTTGGGAATGCCACAAGTATGGTAGGCAGCCGGACTTCGGAGTTCTATTCCTGACTCTGTGTCTGATTTGGATAGGACCAGTCCTTGAAATGCTTTGCTCCATTGTCTCATCTCTCAAATGAAGATAGCAGTATTCAGCTTGTTTACTTCAAACAGCAGTCTTAAGATATAAATAAGATACCATATATGGAAATGCATTTTTATGTAGTAGTCACATGTAATATAGTGTGTAGTAGTAATTGTAATAATGTAAAATATTATTTTGCTGGAAAATCTCACATGCAGTGCATCCATGCTTAGTTGGAGGAATCCTAAATTAACTTAATCTTGAAATTCAGAGATGCTTAAAAGATAATATTTGTTTTTCTTCTGTTTGCAGAAAAAGATAATGCTGAATATGTTCTTAGACACAATGATGGCTGACCCTCCCCCTCAGTGCCTTGTTTGGCTACCTCTCGTGCACAGGCTTGCCCATGTTGAGAATGGTGAGCAGAACTCTTATGTTCTATTCTTATGTGCAGTGAATATTGGGGCTGATTATTTTAAGTGTCCTTAACTATTAGTATTGAAAATTATAACTGACATTTGCTGGCAGCCTATCATTTGAATTTGTGATTTTTAGTTTTCAAAGAATATTTATTTCTAAAAAGGAGTAGGCCTGTTATTTAGCTGAAATTTCAAGAAATACCAGTTCATAAAACTTGGTGGTTGAAACTAAATTTTTTTTCTCGAAATCACAAGAGGATCCTATACTTGAGTCTACCTGACTTAGCATTGAGTTCCCTTTTTTTCCTGTTCACTTTGTCAAAACCGTAGTTCTAATAAGTTGGATATATACAGTAGTAACCAGTAAAATTACCATTACTTTTAAATAATTTAAAGAAAAATAGCTAAGATACAGTATGGTACTTGGTCTCATGTATCTTGTTGTTTGGTTTTTTTTTTAACAACTTTACTTTGAATGTTCTCTTGGTATCCTCAGTAATTTGACTTAAATCTTGTTTTGCTTTGTGTTGAAATAGTACTCATTTCTTAGAAACTTAACATTTTTTGTTATTGCCATCAGTTTATCTCTTTATTTAGGTTTGAATTTATTGAAGGGAAGGCCGTAGCTTTTCTATGCATCCTTTGTTCTCTCCAGGCTGTTGCCTATCTCTTTTTATTCCACGAAAAAGATCAAGGAAAAGCTGAGAAGCTACTAAAAAGGAGAGTCCTCCCTCCCCTTTTCCACCCATCCCTTCTGTCTGTACTTTTTGTTTTTAAACTTCTCAGACTTCTGCTCAGCTACAGCTTTCATTCACAGATGTCTCAGATTTAGGATTATTTACTTAAAGGATGAAAAACTTTTGACTAGACTAAAACAGCTAAATTTTTTAGCAAGATTTTTGAGTAGAGATTTAAGTTGTTAAATTATATAATATTACAGGTTCTTTAGAGGCACTGCTTTTATTTTTATTTATTTATTTATTTTTATTTTTTTGGTACTGGGGATCAAACTTGGGTCCTTGTGCTTGCAAGGCAGGTGGCGGAACCACTGAGCGAAATCCCCAGTCTAAGGCAGTGCTTTTTAGTAGTTTCACATATACTTAATTTTCATAGAATCATTTTGTATCTTCTGTGAGAAGTAGAAAGAATCTCATTTGTCAAGAAGTGCGTTACCCGTATAAGTATTTTATCATATCTTTGTGTGTCATTTATTATTTACTGATTACAGTCTTTTATGGTTAGTGGTATTATTTTTCCTTGGAGACAGAAATGTTATGAGATCATTGAATTATCTAGAAATAAAACATCATATCCATCACATTAACATTTGTTTATATGTCTTAATTCTTAAAATAGAAAACAAATTATAAAATTATGGTATTTCTAGGTGTTTTGACTTTGGCGTTTTTCTTCGGTGTATTACAATTATTGTTTTTTTTTTTTGTTTTTTTTTTTTTTTTTTTTTTTTTTTTTTTTGGTACCGGGGATCGAACTTGGGTCCTTGCTCTTCGGAGGCAGGCCACTGAACTGCTGAGCTAAATCCCCGGCTGCAATTATTGTTTAAAAGGACAAATATTTACTTTCTTAAGCTGTATTTGCACTTTTTATATTGGTTTACAAATCCAAGTGTATTGTATATAAGAAGGTATCTTTTATATGATGCACTTTACCAAAATAATACTTTTACCAGGACCTGAACAGTCCTTATCTTGCCAGTAGTTGATCCTCCTCATTCTGGTTCTTGCTTTCCCACCTAATTATCCATTCCACTAATAAGAGCAAGGCTTAGAACAAAACCGCATAAGCATACATGTTCAATCGAAGTTAGCAGAATGCACCTGATAATTTAATATTAATATAGGTATGTCATTTAATATTAATTCCAAATTGTTAGGATTCTAAATATTGTCTCCAGACTGATTTCAGGGTTGTGTTCTATAGAGGAAACTATACCAAATTATAGGGTTTTAATTTCAAGCACACACTCTGATTAATGCTTTTATAGTCTTTCAGAAATACCTTGCTGACAAAAAGAAGACAACTTTGATTCTTTGGTTCTTATTTTGTTTCCACCTTGGCTTTTATAGTAGATGTGTTTTTCTTCTGTATTGACTCTCTTCTCCAGATGACATAATTTCTTTTGTCTTCCCTTCTTGCTTCTGTCTCTCTGGGCCACCAGTCTTCCACCCTGTGGAGTGCTCCTATTGCCGCTGTGAAAGCATGATGGGCTTCCGGTACCGATGCCAGCAGTGTCACAACTATCAGCTGTGCCAGAACTGCTTTTGGCGTGGCCATGCCAGTGGCCCTCACAGCAACCAGCACCAGATGAAGGAGCATTCCTCTTGGGTAACTGCTTTGTCTTTCAGTCTGTGTCTTTGACAGTTTGTCTGTCTCATCTGTAACGGCACCTGTGCCAGGATCCTGAGGGATAAATACCCTGCCTGGTAAGGAGGTGGTATAATGAAATCTTAATGCCAGCAGCAGTGCAGGGTTGCAAACATGTTGTGTTTCCACTCTGGGTTTTAAAAACAGAATTTTGGAGATGGAGAGATATTAGAAATAGTCCCTTTTATGTAGTTAAATGGAAATTTTATGATACTGCCTTTTCACAGTAAAATGTAGGTTTCTTCTCATTTTAAAACTGTAAAAGGTATCCCCCTCCCTTATGTTTACTGTTTTGAGTGTCCCATAAAGTTTAAAGTTCTTTTTTCAAGGTGCTTTTCTTCATGTTGATAGGGTTTAAATGTTACAAAGGAATCAGCATGAAATTAAAGGATTTTTGTAGCTCTTATGTTGGGGAAAATACTGTATTTTCCACCTGTTGCCATACTGGTGTCCTTATGATCAAAAGTACTTTTTTAAATAACAGTATTTGGGTAAATGTTGATATCTGCCTTTTTGTGGTATGTATAAATCTTGTGGCATGCTTTTCAATTATTTTTCTTTCTCATTTCCAGAGTTTTAAAAATGCCATATTCTTTCCAAAAACTTGTTCAGACAACTTCTCTTTTAAAACCTTTGTTTTAGTATTGTTGGTTGGGTATTTGCTAAATAGTACTGTGTAGAGTCAAGTATAACTCAGAATTTAGATTCTTAAAACTGGCCATCCTACTGAACTTCATATATTAAATAGCTTTAATAACCAGGGATTTTTGATTTTCTTAAATCCGCTTTGGTCTTCTTAAAACTCAACAAAATGCTGTGATGTATTTCAGTGGTAGAAGACTTGCCTTCCACGCATGGGGCCCTGTGTTTGATTTTCATTATGGCAAAACAAACCAACTCTAAAACACTGACTTAACCAAGACAAAGAAAGTAAGCACATATTCTCATACAAGGAAAAAACAAAACAAAGTTCAGCCTATGTGTACATTTAACTGTGCTGTTTTTATCACTGTAGCTTTGTAATATAACTTGAAATCTGGGATTGTGATGCCTCTTACTTTACTCTTGTTGCTCAGAATTGCTTTTGTGACTCTGGATCTCTTCTTGTCCTGTATGTTTAATATTGTTTTCTCTAGTTTGGTAAGTACCACCTGGTGATATTTTGATTGGGATTGTGTTACATATACATGTCAGTTTTGGAAGTTTGGCTATTTTGACTATATTGGTCTGCCTATCCAGGAACATTTACATTTTGTGACCTCTTTGATCTTCTTTTTCAAGGTACTGTAGTTCTACAACAGAACATATTCTCATTTTCTTGGTTAGGTTAATTCCTAAGTAATTTAACTTTTGTTGTTGCTTTTGTGAATGATACTGTTTTCCTAATTTTCTCGATGAATTCATTATTAATTTATAGAAATACTATTGATTTTGTGTGTCAGCGTTGTATCCTGCTACCTACTGAATTTGGTTATTAATGAAATCTTTTGATTTTGAAATTTTGATTTTGGAATTTTGGGGTCTTTATTTAGAGAATCTTGTCATATGCAAATAATGATAATTTGACTTTTTTCTTATACATATTCTATACATATTTCTTATACATATTCTATACATATTTCTATTTTATACATTGGTTTTTCTTTCTTGCCTGATTGCTCTGGCTAATGTATCTAGGATTATATTGAACAAGAATGGTGATAGTGGACATCCTTATTTTGTTCCTGATTTTAGAGGGAAGCTCTTGGCTTTTCCCCATTTTTTATGATGTTGGCTATTGGCTTGTCATAAATGACTTTTAGCAGATTGAAATAATGTATTTTTATACCTATTTTTTTCCAGGTTTTTGTCATGAATAGATGTTGGATTTTTTCAGAGGCTTTTTCTGTGTCTGCTTGAGATGATGATGTTATTTTTGGTTTTGTTTCTGTTCATATGATATATTTATTGATTTGTGTGTATTGAACATCCCTGCATCCCTAGGATGAAGTCTACTTGGTTAGGAAGTATGATCTTTTTGATTATTCATTGCATTCTGTGTGTCAGTATATCATCTTAAGGATTTTTTTTTCCATATTCATTAAAGAGATTGTTTAATCTGTAGTTTTCCTTTCTTGTTGGGTTCTTTTCTAGTTTTGGTATCAGGGAAATACTCCCTTATGGAAATGACTTTAAGAGTATTCTTTCCCTTTCAAATTCATTAAGGAGTTTGATGAATATTGGCATTAGATTGTCCCTGCAGTTCTTGTAGAATTTAGGAATGAATCCATTTGAACCTAGGCTTGTCTTTGTTGGTATTATTATTATTATTATTATTATTATTATTATTATTATTATTATATTATTATTATTATTATTGCTTCAGTGTCATTGCCTGTTATTGAATTATTCATTTGTGTATCAAGGTTCAGTTTTGTAATTCGTGTATTTCTAGAAATCTAGCCACCTGATGGGATAGTCATACATGTAGCAGTAGTGGTTCAAGCTGGTAGGTATGTTTCCATCTCTTCTGAATTCTCTCCATTTCACTAGAATACAGACTCTTAAAGTAGTTGCTAATAATCTGAATTTCGGTGATTTTCCCTTTTTCATTTCTAATTGTATTGATTTGGTCTTTTCTTTTTTTGGTAAGATAGGCTAGGTGTTTGTTTTGATTTCTTCTTCAAAGGACAAGTTCTTTGATTCTTAGTTTTTGGTTTTTGGTACCTGGAATCGAACTCAGTACCTTGCTTTTGTGACGCAGGCGGCAGAACCACTGAGCTAAATCCCTGGCTATCTTAGGGTTTTTTTTTTTTTTTAAGTCTCAGTTTCATTAATTTTCTTCTTCTCCTTTTTTACAATTTCCTTCCTTGTACCAGTGTTGTAGTTGAATTATTTTTTTTTTTCAAGACCTTGAGAGGCACTCACTGTTACTTACTTGGGTTCACTGTTTTTGTGATATGGTCATTCACCACTATAAACTTCCCTCTTAGGACTCCTTTAATTGTGTCCCATAGCTTCCATTGTGTGTACTGGCATTATCATTTGATTCTAGGAACTAATTTCTTCTGTGAGCTATTGATTATTCAATAGGGTATTGTTTAACATATTCAGAACAGGGCCTTAATTCTTCTGTCTCCTTGCTGGGTGGCTCTGATTTTGAATTCCATTGTCTGATATTAAATGGCTAACCAATGGTAGTTCAAGCCACCTGATGAGATAGTCATGCATGTAGCAGTAGTGGTTCAAGCTGGTAGGTATGTATCCATATGTTTGCATAATTTCTGTGGTTTCTTTTATCATTTATTTCTAGTTTCTTTGCTCTGTGATCTGATAATATACGTGGGATAATTTCAGTTCTTTTACATTTACTGAAGTATGCTTTATGGGCTAGCATGCAGTCTATTTTGAGGAAGATAAGTATATTCTGAATACAACACTGTGGTTTTCTATTAAGTCCATTTGTTCAGATGTTTGGTTCAACTCTTGATACTTTCTTGCTTTTTTTGTCTATTTGGTCTGTTTGTGACAGCGGAGTATTGAGGTGCCCCATTGTAATTGTGTTGTTGTTTATCTGATTTTTTATGTCCAGTAGTGCTCGTTTTATGAAGTGGGTATGCCAGTGTTTCGTGCATTTATGTTTATAATTGTTATCTCTTTCTGTTGAATTGTTCCCTTAACCAATTTGTAGTGATATTTTTGCCTCTTCTAATCAGTTTCAGCTTGAAACCCACTTTGTCTGAAATTAGGATAGCTACTCCTGCTTTTTTCAGGGTTTGTGTTGAATGGAATATTGTTTTCCACCTTTTGATTTTTAGTCTATGAGTTTCTTTTGGGTAAAATGCATTTCTTGTACAGTACATATCATTTGTTAGATTTTGTTTCTTTTTTTTCTTTTTTAAGAGTAGAAAAAATTTATTGAGGGAAAGAAAGCTTCTGTCTAAGAGAGACAGAAGGGGGACTCGAAAGTGGGTTGCCTGCCCACCCCACTTCTCAAAGATGTTTTATACAGTAAAGCCATGTGCTGAGGCGGATACAAAGTGGGGTAAAACTATAAGACCCGGTGGAAAATTACAAGGTGGGCATGGGGTGGGACAAAACCACTACCAACCAAGATTGTAAGTACAGTCACCCAGGAAATAGGTTTTGTTTCTTGATCCATCTGCCAATTTATATATCTTAATTGGGGAACTGAGACCATTCTCAGTGAGAGTTATTACTGAAAGGTGTTGACTTACTCCTGTTATGATTTTTCTGTTAGTGACTCCTTCCTCGTGCTTAACTGCTCACCTCTCTGGTCTCTTTATTCTAGTAGATGTTTTGGCCTTGTTAGCTTCATTATCTCATTCACGGATATCTTTGAGAATTTTGTCGTAGTGCTAGTTTGGTACTTATGAATTTCTTGACATCTTTGTCATGAAAATACAATACATTATTTCTTCACAACTTTTGAGAGAAACTTTTGCAGGATATGTCAGTCTAGGCTGGAAGTTGTTATCTTTTAGGACCTGAAATACTTCAAGCTCTTTAAGGTTCATGTTGAGAAGTCTGCTGCAATTAGAACGGGTTTACCTTTATAAGTGATTCATTACTTTTCTCTTACAGCTTTTAAGATTCTCTCCCTGTGTTGAACTTCTGGTATTTTGACTATCGTGTGAAACAGAGAGGTTCTGTTTGGATGGTGGCTATTTAGTTTTCTTGTGCTTCACTTATTTATATGTTTAATTTTTTCCCAATATTTGGAAAGTTTTTGCTCTTCTTTCTGTAGTTTTTTTTATGCCTTCTTTGCCGTCTCCTGATTTTCAGTTATTCTAGTTAATCTTCTGTGTGTCATCTAACAGATACTGAATGCATTTTTCATATTTTCTTGTTGTTTTAAGGTATTTCAGAGTAATTGGTCTTTGAAAGCATCCTTGCCTTCTGATATTCTTTCCTCACATTGATTGCTTCTGCTGCCCATAGTTTAAATATAATTTTTTTAA